TTAGGACAGTGGTATATGCTATATTTTCTAAACATCATTGATCAATGTTATGCACTTTGGTTTACATTTGGCAGTCATTGTTAGCTATTATTAAGTAATGAAACATATCAGAGATAGTAAATCTTTTGGGACCATCATCATATATGTGGTCTGTCATTGGCTGAAATGTCGTTATGTGGTGCATGAATGTAGTTAAAAAACAATAGAAAATACTTTTAAAATCACTCTTGTACTTCTTTGTTCGTGAATCTGATTTAATGCATTTGCTTTTTAAATTGTATTGGAAACACTCCAGTGATAGATATGGGAAGAGTTCAAATAGTAGTAGAACAATTAACTGCCAGCTACATTTTATATTTAACATGATTTGTACATATTATATTTGCATGGGATAATTAGTCCATTGTCATTTCATCATCATCTGCTGATCATTTCCCTTGTTTAGTGTTCATCAGGGACACTTTGCTTCAACAATGATTTCTGTTTTTAAAACAAGAAAATTTCATCGTCACTGGAATTATTTTGTAACCTAGATCAAAGATTACTTGAGTAATCTCAGCATTTATATTATCTTTATCAACACAAATATGTGGCATGAATGCCTTCTAAGTAATTGATTTGAAAAATAAATTACTTCATATCTTTGCATTATTAATAAGTAACTAACAATCTAATAGATTTTAAAATACCAAGTAATTTGATTAACTAGATTCAGGTTTACGTAGAGAGACAAGCTGCTTCTGCCTTATTTAAATTTCTAGTACTTTCACACTGAATTTATGTCAGAAGATTATTTGTATAAGATGTCAGTTACACTAATTGTATTCCAAAAATTCTCTTCAAATCCTTACACCCACATTCACATAACTTTTGAACTTATCACCAAGGGTTTATAAGATACTTGGCAGAGAAACTAGAATCTGGAAGTCTTTCTGCTCTGCCATGAAATCTATGACTTTGATAGTCACTTTTATTTCCTGAACTTTGATTTCTTCAGTTTCGTGAAAGATGGCTTCCAAAGCTCTTTACGGTTCTGTGACTGTACATTTTTGCCTCCATCAGTATTGAAGGAAGGGATCAGTGTACATGATGCCCCTGCTTGTTATTCTTATAGTAGAATCCAAATTAGCCATTCAAAACATGGAAGCATGCCCTGAAAAAGTTTGTTGATTGCCGGTCTGGCTTGTCTAGATGAGATTTATGGAAATCCTGGTTAATTGTTCACATGTGGGGTTCCACATCTACTCTTGGTCCAAGAATATAGATAATATCAGAGGAAATTAGTGTGGGAATAGCATTTTAGAAATACTGGGGAAAATGTCACATTCGAATTTTCCTTTCCAGATGGATTAGCTTTCAGGTACAGTTTCTTTTCTTTTTCTTTTTTTTTTTTT